TTTTTTTTTTGGTAGAAGCGTGAAAGCAAATCAGTTTGATTATAGAATTGGGTAAAAACCAACAAAGCATGCACCAGCCATGTAGTTTGGTAACCATTGAGTTTGCATTATTACTTTCATCTTGGCCTATAGAAGCATAGTAAACATGAATGCATATACAGCGGTGGGCATCTACATAAAACTGATTTGTTCAAACTCGTTCAGGAAATGAATTTTGCGCAAATTTGCTGTTCATCTCTCCATAAGCACCGCGACCTTTAAAGTGATCTATTGTGCGTAGCTCTCCACACTATATAGGAAGTCTTTTAACCCTGTAATACTGAACATGACTAAATTTTACTATTTTCTTTGTAAGCGTGGCACAGTGGTCTGTGAGTGTTAGAAAGTCCAAGTTTCCAAATGTCTCGAAATATTCAACTAAATGGTTCTGCGAAAGATGTACGCGATGGCGACGGCGAATACTGCAGACGATTTAACAATGAGCTGTATGAGCTTTACAACGATATAGACATAGTGCAGCGAATTCAAATTCATCGGCTCCAGCTCTGAAAGTACTCAACGAGGGTCGCGGTGCTGTTAACAGTGGAAGAGGAAGCCCTCCTCTGTGTGGGAAAGACCAGGTGGAGAAGGACTTACCTTCACTTGGAATTTCCAATTGTCGTCAGGTGGCACAGAAGAGATACGACTGGCGTGCTGTTTTGGACTGTTTGGCAAAATCGCTTAGTCGGTTACACCGCCAATAAAGAAGAAGAGAAGTATTGAAAGAACACTTGATTTCGGTATTGTATGAATCGTACTTTTTAAAGTTAAAACAGGCATTTCGCAAACTCAACACTGGTAATTGAATGATCGGGTGTTGATGGATTTGTTTTCATCTTTAATGACAAGCTTAATCAAATTCAAGAGTTGCTACCGAAAGGGGTTTCATAATTTTTTCTGCTGGTTTCAGAGTTGGGAAATGATGGTATATGATTTCAAGCAGTTTCAATGACTTTATAACTAAATACTTACTTTTTGTCAACGTTTACCAATTAGCTATTCGGATTACAACGTTCATTAGTAGTTTACTGAAACAAGTTCCAGCTGCTAGAACCCGCTGGCATTGTTTTTTTTTTGTTCTTTCATAGGCCTATCCCCATATCGATGCCTCCAAACCATACCATGCTAAGTCACCTTAGACTTAGTCAGACTTAGCATAGTATGGTTTGAAAGCGTCGATGAAGAAGTACAAAAAATATTGGTGAACTTCCGCGCCCTCTACATTAAGGAACAGGTATGGTAGACGTTATCTGAATTTAATGAAATTTGGTTTTTATAAATTTATTTTTTGACCATCCTATCAGATTTGAGTTTTTCCAGTTGACCAACCCAATTTCACTAAATATCGGATAATATTTACAGTTTCCATCCCCTAATGTTGTGCGCGTGGCAAGACAGTCACATTCCCAGAGAATGTGTCTTGGCATTTATTTGTCCACCTCGCAAAAGCGACAGACGTTTGTTTCTGAAAGATGAATTTTACTGAGTTCATCACGAAGGGAACAGTGTCCGATGTGGTACCCAGTGAGAGTTTTGAGGCCCTCTCTGCCTCGGTGCCAGGGCCAGTTTTACCATTACCAAGTTTATATCCATCTGTTTTGGTGTATGTGTTCGCTACAATACAGAGAGTTCGATCTCAAATTTCCTAGAGATTTCTAGTTCTGGAGTATTGCATCGCGCATTTGCGATATAGCCATTAGCGAATTTCATTAGAAGCTTCACGAGACCCTTAATGTTTCCGATTTTCATGTCGGAGGTTTTTAGGATTCTCAGAGCCGCTAGTAACAGTGCTGTTACCAAGATCAAAACGCTCACTTGAAATTGGAGGATAAGCCAGAACTATTTAATTTTGGGATGTTAGCACAAGCCTCTACGGATAAACTTCCCGAGTAACGCCTCAACTTTTCTAAAAGTGCCTTCCCTGCAAACCATATTCTGAATGGTAGAGAAAGAAATTCGAAGGAATTCGTAAAGATCTCATCCGATTTATTGCTGCATGTTCTAAAATGAAATAAACTGTGCACACTTCGGTTCTTTTACAAAACTTCGGAAGAAAATCGGTAAAGTAATGAAAATAATGCTGCTATGTGAAGAATTTCTTGCAGAATTTTCTTTATTTTTCGTAGAAAAATCGTTACAGAAATGAGATACATACTCCTAAAGATTTCGTTAAGATTTCGGGAACTTGCTGTTTTTTGGTTTTTTACTTTTCTAAATAATTATTTTCTTTCAGTTTGAGTTTGTGCATAATGTGTTTACTACTATTTGTTGTGTTCACATTTTTCGTAATGACCAGGTGGTTGTGAGTATTTATCGCTACTTTTGCGGGCTAAATTTTGCGAATGAAGCTGTGTAATGGGCACTTTCGTTTTATAGTATTTTACCAAATCTGCTAACCCTATACAACTGGTGCTCAATTAACGGTTATCAATATGGGGTAATCATTTTATCCACACTGATTGTTCTATCGAACTTAATTAAAAGTTCAATAGCTTGCAACAAACCGAAAGAGAGCTTTTCGCTTTACTTTACTGACTTGGCCCGTAAGACTTTTACGATGTATGGCTTTGGCTTGGCACTGATCGGAATCAATAATAATTTTCCTATGCCGCCTTGTCCGTTTATTGAAAATTTGATAATGATCTTGTCAGGACATATTTACGTGACTACTTTGATACATTTTTAAATTAAAAATGATTTGCTACCGAGGGAAGAACCAGTTGATTTCAAGTTGGGAAGCGCAGCACAAATGTGCTGGACGGTGAATACTCAATCGGCGATTATTGAGGATGTGTCCGTATGCAAAGCGCATTTTCGCGCCTTCTATGGAGAAACTTTCGGCAGGTATTGCATTGGTTTGAACGTTATTTTCTTAAGCAAAACAAGAATTTAGCACAATGCTCCTTTAAACTGCATAT